GCTTTTGTGGTTCCCGAGTTGAAAGTTGCGGACAAGTTGCTGCGGACACACACAAACACACACACATAAACACACACACAGACAACCCCGTAACAATATGCGTTTTGTACTGCTGTTACACAGCACAAAACGCATAAAAATTCAGCTTTCTAACTTTTCTGGTTCCCAAGTTAGTGGACTTTCCAGCTAAAAATTTTCACGGGGCTGTACGTGATAACCAGGCACAACTAGGAGCTAAATTTAAGATCTTTAAGTTGTGAATGAGCTGGAAAAATTCCCTTAAAATTTCAGCTTTCCAGCTGTCCTGTCTCCGAGTTAGTCATTTTCCTAGCAAAAGATTTCGCGGGACCACACGTGGAAATCACGCACACCTTGGGACTGAATTTGAAATTTTCGTGTTTTAAGTGCACGCGGGAAATAACCGCAAATTTTCAGCTTTCTAGCTTTTCTGGTTCCCAAATTAGCGATTTTCCCGACAAAACTCTCGCGCGCCCGTACAAGGGGCACGTGCGCGAGGGTTGGTACCGCGTTCCTGGGGTGGCATTTAGCCGCGGAACCCACTGGCAAGCTTGCTTCGTTATCGAGTTGAAATAGCGGACAGATGTACACACACATACGCACATACGGGAGTCACAATATGCGTGTTACATTAGCATATTTAAGCAAGCGCATGACGAAAAAAAAAGTGCTTTCCTAGTGTGCTGTAGCACTGCTAATCTGATAGTGCAGCACTGCAAAATCATGATTGGCCAGTATTGCAGTGTACTCAAACAACAATCCCGCTGCATCGAAATGTCGGCACACTGCTGCCTGAGTAGTGCGTGCATACACCTATTTTCGGCTCTAGAACAGCAGGACCGGCCTTTCTTTCGTGAATTTTACAAACAGGTTGAGTGTGTGCGCAGCAATTCAGATTTGTCGTCGCCAAGATCGCTGGACTACCAGCATAACGCTTCTTTCGAGATAGCGGCCTTTTATCGATGTCTCATTCAACAGTCAGCGAAAAAAAATATCAAAGCTGTGACTAATGTAACTTTATTTTCTGGTTAGTGAACTACATCGACAATAGAACCACCGTAAAAACACTTTCCTTCCTTTTTTTACACAGTGTTCATCAAATTTAAATGCAAATAATGATGCATACACTCACTCACAAACGCATACACACGTGCGCATAAACACAGGCACATACACACACGCACAAGTACATACGAATTCACACACGCACAAACCCGTATACATACATGCACACGCATAAACACATGAATAGGCTAATAAAGGCTGATGTCCTCACTATTTTACGGTTTATCTTGGTGCAATTTTAACGTGCCCAAATTTTTTTTCATGGTTTAGCCTGTTCTGGAGTTTGTGGCACATTTGAAAATGAGTTCATAAGCTAGAGCTCGGCATATTCATAAATGCGAAATTCAGTTCTTCATTCTTCATCACCCGGAAAACTGTGACCCTAAAATTTTAGTATCTCAGTTCAGCTTGAATTTGAATCTGGATCTATTGAACAAACTGTAAAATGCTTAAAAACTATTTCCGGCAATTTTCCTGGCATTGCTTAGTGAACTGAAGCCTCGAAATCCTGCTATTTTAGTTCACAACTCACCAAGAAACCCAGCTTTTCAACGTCTGCTCAAGAGCTAGATTATGGAGATGAAAGGACAGATGCCTACACATGTACATTATACATACGTGAAATACATTTTTTCACATACATACATGCATACATAATCTTGCCAGTGAGTGTGCTAATTCTATCAACTTTTGACTTTTGACCAAATTCTGTCAACTTTAGGCTGCAAGCCCTCCTAAATTCAGCATTTTTGAAAGCAGCCCCCTAGCTACCTACGTCTAGATATCACTGCCAACCACTGTTTCTGCTTTCAGTGACGTAGTTTGGATTTTGCTGAAAATGACTGAAAGAGAAGGCAGGAGGACAATAATGAATAGTAGGCTTTGCAGTTTTTCAAGGTAGCAGAATCCTCGAGTGTACTTTTTTATTCACGAGCACCTGTTTAGTATTTTAGTAAATTAAACCCACTGAATCTACTCAATAAGTTCCTGACAAATACAGAAGAAACAAGATTCGAATATTTGAGGATTAGTACGCTGTGTCTAGAATACCTATCCAGATGAGACAAACAATACAGCTGCGCGTTTTAGCTATGAAATTAAAAAGAAGGAAAAGAACATGTTTTTCTTTCGACGAATAACAAAACGTTTTCAGAAAATAGCACCACCAGAAATTTTTTCACCGTGTTATCAATTCTGCTGAATCGATGTGGGACAGAAACATTGATGCTGCTGAGGAAAGAATGCTGCCAAAAACTGCGAGAACAGTGCGAATGAAGCATGGTGGACTTTGGCAGGCTGTACTGCTTCTCTAAGGAACTGTTATGATTTCTGTCTGGCTAAAAAACTGCGCACATAAGGAATGCAGGTCAGCTGGAAGAATTACTCTGTTTTGTGTAGTGAGGATCAAAACAACAATGAACAAAGACACTGCTAAGGGCAGCTGCTAAAAAATCAGTGATCGGGCGGCACGATCGTCCCAGTAGTGCAGATCGCCTTGTGACTTTTCTGACACTGACCTGCATTTCCACATGCGCATCTGTTTCAGCTTACAGTTACGTCGCCACACGTCACTGGGGAAATGTACGTGCTTACTGAATAATGTTTATAACAACAGTATATTACCGCCTGCGGAGTTGACTTTTCATCTTCCTTGTCCTGTACACTTGCAGATGCTGCAATGAAATTTTTTGTATTTATATTCAGCAAATTTGTTTGGGTGAGGGAGGGGGATCGCTTGCTTCCTTCTGCCCAATTCAGCGTTTCTTCATTGAACAGCTTCTTTCGTCACTTGTTTGCAACTACATATTGACTGCCTTATAGCCTTATCACTGCGATTATTTTACTCTGTTCTGCTCCTTTATTGAAAAAAAAAAGCTCCACTTTGATTTTTGACTTTGCTGTTCGAAAAAATCACATTTACCACTGTACTAAGATGTTGCACGGTTATCAACCTTTTAACGTCTTTTTGTGCTTATAGTGACATACAGTAAACAGTTCTTCAAAAATCTCTTGCATACACAGACATAGGCATAATGTGAGAGCGACTGTCTGATAGATACTGTCGTGGCCGAGTGCAAACACTGGTAGCTCCCAGCATGCCGAAAAAACATATATTGTTGGGCTAAACTTAAATGGCTTAAGCCACAATCAACCCGGCCAAAGTCACGCAGTTTTGCACCAAACACAGTAAATGACGGTGCATAGTAGGGTAACTGATGTGGCCGTGCACATTATGCAGTTTCGACCAGTAGATATTTGCCTTCTAAGAATTTTCACTATTTCATACTTCAGTATGTGAAAAAAATAGTCGATATTCTGTTTGGTTTCTAAGCTGTGAAATTCCCCGTTAAGAAATTTCACGTACCGTATGTGCAATGCAAACATGCGTTGAAGCTGAACTAATCTTCGACAGTGAAAAAATGTCAGCCTCTTAGTTTTCTGGCTTCCAAGTAACTTTCGCACTAAAACCTTCTCGTGGTCGTAGGTGAGACCTTGTCACACATGGGAGGTAAGTTTGAGTTTAGGCCCCTGCATAAACAGAAAACATTCTTCTGAAGTTTTCAGCCTCCCAGCTCTTCTTGCCTCGAGATAAAAGTTTTTCCCGCCGAGATTTCTGCAGTCCGCACGTGGATCCCATGCTTACGTGGAAGCTGAATTCGAATTTGCGGGTTTATATGTGGCTAGGGGGCATTACTGTAAAATTTCAGCTCCTTAGCTTTCGTGGTTCCCGAAACAGTAATTTTCCCTGCCAAAACTTTCACGGGGCAGTATGTGATACCCGGGCGCGTGGGAGGGCTTAGTTTAAAATTGCTACCTGGTAGAGGAGAGGGGGAGATTACCCTAACATTTCAGCTTTCCCGGCTTCCGTGATCCTCGAGACAATAATTCCCCCCACGAAAACTTTCGCTGGGCCGTATATGGCACTCGGGGTACATGAAGACTGAATTTAAATTTGAGGAGTCGTACATAAGTGGGGAAAATTCTACTAAAATTTCAGCCTCCTAGCTTTTCTGGTTCCTGAGTTAAAACTCCCAAATAAAATGCACTCGGAAAACACACACATAGGGTCTCGACATGCGCTTTGTACAACTGTTGTAGCACAAAACGTACAAAAACATAATGCGCATCATACATCACAGTATGAGGGGACAAGGACAGTCTAGTAGGCTGCACGTTTTAGGGCCAGCAAAATTACAATGTTGCGGCGATGAGCTGCTACGAATCCCAAGTATGCTCAATCTACTTATACCGATCTAATCCTAACTCTCTTTGGCACATCCGAACTGGTAGACTGATATTTCTAGTTTGGATCCTCTCAAGCGGTCTAGTTTCATGAACAGAGATACATGCAACACCTGCGCCTTCTTCCCAGCGGTAGTAGGTGAGTTCAGGTGGGCAGAAGAGTCGAAACGAGATGGGGAAGAGAAGGAGCACTGGTTGAACCTATGTATAATGGGAAATGTTTCGCACCAGTTGCACTGCATTCCACAGTTGAGATATCTTCGACTGCTGGCGGTGACAACCACCGTCTTGCCAGTTCTTCCGTGTCCAGCAGCAAACTCCTGGGAACCGTACGACGCTCGACTTGTGTCGATTCCGTATGATCAATTCGAAGTATTGCTGGTGGTTCTCCACTACTAAAGCAATGCCTTATCGGCTCCTTGACACTGCAGTCATGCATTAAAGATCCTTTACCATTACTGGCAGAGAGTGCTGGTCTCTTGAAACTCCCTCCAAGCACTGCTGATTGCTTATCGTCATAGCCACATGCTGCCGGTTCCATATTATGGTGCCCACGCGCTACTGTCCCTCCATTACACTGGCCACGCGCTGCCACTTCCCTGCTGCAGAATCCACGCACTGCTTTTCCACCATTACAGGCACCACGCGTTGCCGGTTCCCTAGTAGAATGCCCACGCGTTGTTGCTGATCCATCAGTACAGTCACCAAGTGCTGTCGGTCCCATGCTACAATATTCACATACTGCTGCTCCAGTACTAAAACCTCCGCGTGCTGCCGTTCCATCAGCACAATCGCCACGTGCTGCCGTTCCCGCACTACAATATCCATACGTTGTTGTTTTGCTATTGTAATCGCTACGCTTTGTCGGTCCCTCGCTTTTACAGCTTTGCGCTACTGTTTCACCACAATGGTCGACATGCAGTTCTGAATCGACACTTTTGTCGCTGCGCGCTGTCGACTGATCATCACCATCACCAGATTCCTAAATTTTGCAGGCCAAGATTAAGAAAAAAGAACTGTTAAATTACCCAACAGGACGTCTGGAGTACTGGACGAGGTAATTTCATAATTCTGCCGCAACATGGAACACCAAATCGCCCCGCCGATGCAATATTTCTGGTCTTGTTGATTTGCAACCATTTTTTGGGTAGAATCATTTTATTATTGTACGACCTGTTAGTCTCTATTTCCATACCAGTCGCCCAACCCCACCTCTTCCCGATACAGATGAAGGCTTTCTCTCTCACTAGAACAGTTCAGCGATAATCAGAAATAATGCTTTTCCCAAAAGGATCCAGTAGGAAGAGACTGTCTCGAGCAGAAAATAAATAGCAGCGCGCACCGGAATAGCCGGTACGATCATGCGTTTTTTTGCAATTTCGTCGATCAAACGATTGCCTTTTAATGATTTTCACTGCTCTGCACTTTGGTCTATGTAAAAATAGTTGAAATTTTGAAAAGTAGTTGAAAATTTCACACACCAGTACATGAAAGCTGACTGTGAAACCTCGAGGGGTGAATGTCCTTCCACAGCTTCAGTCTCCTAATTTCCTGGCTTTCGAATGATCTTTGAGACAAAACATTTACGTAGTCGAACGTGAGACCTCGGCATACTTAGGAACTGAATCTAAGTTTGTGAAGCCCCTGCTTAGGCAGAAAACATCCTTCTGAAATTTCCAACCTCCCAGCCCTTCTGGCTCCCGGGATAATGATTTTTCTTCTCCAAAACTTCCACGGAGATGTTGAAAATTTGCGGAGCTGTACATGGGCATCGGATACCACTCTAAGATTTCAGCTTCCTGACTTTTGCAGTTTACAAGGCAGACAGTTTCCCTGCCAAAACTTTCACAGGGCCGCACGCAGTAGCCAGGGGCACGTTAAGACTTAATCCAAATTTGCGGGAGTCGTACGTTAATAGGGGACATCCTCTAAAATTTCAGATTCTCAACTTTCGTGCTTCCCGAGATAATTTTCCCCGTCGAAACTTTCACGGGGCCGTAAATGATACCTGAGCGTATAAGAACGCTGAATTTAAATATGTGAGATTAGATGTGGGCAGAGCCCACTACCGCAAAATTTCAGCTTCCTGGCTTTTATGGTTCCCGAGATAATAATTTACTCGCCACAGTTTTCATGGGGCCGTCGGCGATGCCTGATAGCGCTGGAACGCTGAATTTGAATTTGCAAGATCGTACGTGGGCAGGGGTCATTACCTTAAAATATCAGTTTCATAAACTTAGCGATTCCCAGGATAATAATTTATCTGCCAAAATTTTCACGCGGCCTTACATGTTATCCGTGGGCAGGGAAAGGCTGAATTTAAATTTTCTAGGTTGCACGTGGGCAGAGGAATGCCCACAAAATTTGAGCTTTCTTGCCCCCGTAGTTCTCGTGGTAATTTCACCCGTCAAAACTCTTACTGAGCCGTACGTGTTACCAGCGGGCAGAGAAAGGTGGATTTGAAATTGCGGGGTAGCACATGGGCGAGAAACATGCCTCTAAATTTTCAGCTTCGCAGCTTTTGTGGCCTCCAAGTTGAAAGTTGCGGACAAGTTGCTGCGGACACACACATACACACACACACACACTTGCACACAAACACACACAGACAACACCCGTGACAAAATGCGTTTTGTGCATCTGTTGCACAGCACAAAACACATAAAAATACAAATTTTTCCAATGGGGTTTAAAAAATTTCGATTTTGTGTAGTATCTGTACTCGCAAATAAGAAGCATGATTTGGCTGCTTTTGGTGTTAGCTGTCTATTTTGGCCCTAATTTTTTCGAATTTTCCATCCGGTTGTTTAACGCAATGCTTCATGCTTTTGGCAAGATTACGCGCCCATCTGATAAATTTTGCTTCTAGTTACACAAGCTCTTTCATCTCTTTTCAAGTTTTCACGTTCTGTCCCACGGTTTTCACATTTCAATGAGATGACAGAGGAAGTCGCGCAGTTTTAGCATGGACGTGCTACCACATATTGTTAGCCTTTAGTGCATCTAATTTTAAACTTCACATCCCAGTCGTGAGCAACCTGGATGTAACTTTAGTGATACTTTAAAGTATGGGGGAAAATTAAAGCCGACCGATTTTACAATATAATTGAGGTATTCAGCTGTAGATTTTTGAAAAGAACAGCCACTTTTCTGTAGACCTAGACCCCACAGTTTTCGTTATCGGCATTAATCAAAAACGCATAAAATCGATTAATTACGAGGAATTTTTCGCATCAACCTGTAAATTACGCCCTGTATCAGGACGCACTGGTATAATTTTTATATTCATGTAATTTTTAGCCACAATTTCATCGAATAATGAGTCAATAACAGTAACTGTTTGATTGCGGCGTTCCGACGACCACACGAATCTCCGTCTCTGTACCTGAACAAAAACAGAAACCAAATTTGACACTTTCGAGCAGCTTCAAAGCTAGAATTTTCCATTAAAGGATAGCTAAAGCAAAATTTCAGCCGTTATTTAAAAAAAATTGTAAAACAGATTTCCATATTTACCATGAAAGGATAAAAATATGCTTTTCGTTCCTTCCGATACATCATGTTTTTTTAAGAACAGCAGGAGTGCCTGAACAGTTGATGTAGGGTGTCCAAGCTAGTGATGTTATTTAATACGCACCCCTGTATGGAGCGCATGGCAATTACTAAAACTCGGCTCGGCTCGGCTTAGCCAGCCCTCGGCTGCCTCGGCCGCACCTCGACCGCCTCGACTCGCCTCGGCCGGCCCCTGGCAACGGCACTATCGTGAAGCATAGAGTGGGAGAGCGGGACGGGGGGGAGGTGAGGGGACAGGCAGGGGAAGGGGGAAGAGGCGAACGGGGAGAACGTTGGCAAGGCAGACGGGGGGAGGTAATGGCAGTGGGGATGGATGGGAAAGACGGGCATGGGGGGAAGCGGGGAGAGGGGGGAGCAAAGACAGGGGAAGGTACAGGGAGGGGTGGACAGGGGGACTGCTGCGGGAGAACGGTGACCGCGGAGTCGGAAGCTTGGGGAAGGGGTGCTGGGGTGAGTTGACTTGGAACGTGGCGTGGCAACGTAGGGGAGAGGGGGAGATGAGCGGGTGAGAGTAGGATCCGAGTGCTGATTTTGCCACAAATGCGCGGAGTATGGAAAGTGTTCCGGGGGGGGGGAAAGTATACTGCAGAAAGTGTAGAAGTTTGAGGAGGGGGGGGAGGACTGGCAATACATAAGCACACTTTTGGGTGCTGGGTTCGAGACGCGGGGAGGAGGTTGTGATAAGCGGTGGGGAGAGGGGAATGGTATGTGCGGGTTTCGAGCACAGAGACTCGAGGCAGGAGAACGGGTCGGGTAAGTACACTGAATAGCTACGTGATGTAGATCTTTTGGCAGTTGCCAAGGCCACCTAAGGGAGAAGGGAAAGGGTGATGGATTGAAAGGAAGAAAGCAAGGAAAT